GCTCCAGCAAACCACCCAGAAGCAATTTACACAAAGAAGAACAGAAAGCACTCACCAACCTGAGGAAAGACAACAACATAATCATTCTCCCAGCAGACAAAGGTAATGCCACTGTTGTGATGAACACATCGGACTACCAAGCAAAACTATCAAATCTACTCCAAGACCCTACCTACCAACCTATAAAAACAGATCCCACCACCTATCTGGAAAAAACCACCAAATCCAAAATAAAAGCCTCTCCTATTAGTGAAGAAATCCAGCTAAGAATCATCCCCAGAGAAAAATCATCCAGATGCCCCAAACTCTACGGCCTCCCCAAGATACACAAAGAAGGAACACCACTCAGACCAATAGTCAGCTCCATAGGCTCACCTCTACAAAATCTCGCTAAATTTCTCGCTAAGCAACTTCAGCCCTATGCAGAATCCATCTCTTCACACGTTACAAACTCCTTCCAGTTCATAGAAACAATAAAGAAGCAAAACCTACATCCCAATGACCTACTTGTGAGCTTCGATGTTGTATCTCTCTTCACACAAGTGCCCATTAATGAAGCCTTGACAGCCATTCAAAACAAATACAATCCCCCCGAATACATCCTGGACCTGACCAACCACTGCCTAACCAACACGTACTTCATCCACAATGGACAAAGATACAAACAGATAGAAGGAGCACCTATGGGATCACCCCTCTCACCGGTCATCGCAAACCTGTACATGGAACACTTTGAAACCAATGCTTTAGACAAGTCAGAACACAAACCCAAACTTTGGCTCAGATATGTTGACGACACCTTTGTAATTTGGCCACACGGGAAGGAAAAACTAGATAGCTTCCTCACACACCTCAACAGCCTACACCCCAAAATACAATTCACTATGGAAATAGAAGCCAACAACCAACTTCCCTTCCTTGACGTCCTAGTCTACAAAAAACCTGATGGCTCCCTAGGACACACTATCTACCGGAAAAAAACACACACCAACCGCTACTTACATGCACAATCACACCACCACCCTGCACAAATAAACTCCGTAGCCAAGACTCTCATCTCCAGAACCAAACGCCTGGCTGACAAAGACCACTTGACAACTGAGTTACAGAATCTCTCAAATGTGTTAATCGCCAATGGATACCAGCAAAACAGGGTTACGAAGCTAATCCAAAAAGAAACACCCCCAAAAACCAAGACACAGAAGAAAACAATGGCATGGCCCTCCTTCCTTATATCAAGGGCACTACAGATAAAATTAGCAAAATCCTCCATAAACACAATATCAAAACAGCCTTTTGCACCAACCAAAAAATAGCCAATATCCTCAGAAACCCCAAGGATAAAATCCAGTTGGAAAACCAAGGGGTCTATGAAATACCCTGCAAAGTCTGCCCAGCCACGTACATTGGACAAACAAACAGACGAATAAATGCACGTATCGCAGAACACAAGAATGCCGTCAAAAAAGAAGAAAAAACTTCCTCTCTTTTCCAACACATGAAAGAAACAGGACACGAAATTAATTTTGCAGATTCCAAATTGCTCTTTAACATGGAACATCACCACAAGAGAATAATCATGGAAGCCATCGAGATAGAGAAACACCCTCACAACATGAACAAGCGTGACGACACATCCCGCCTGCCAGACATCTGGAAATTAGCCCTCCCCACAAAAACCGACACCAGATCCAGAGGCACACAGAACGCCATCACCAATCAACCACACCAGACCCAAACCCAGACCCTCTCCACAGATAAATTACAGACACCATCCAGTAGCCAAACCATGGTGGCACCTCCGGATGCTGCACCCCCCTGCAATCCCTACACAGATCTGGCTGGCACAGGCCACAAAACCACAGCTCGCCCCTATACACGAAGCCAAGCCAGAGCACAACTAAGTGCAGTACAGCCATCTTCTCAGAAAAACTCTTCACAAAGTTCAAGAGGTCAAGACACGAAGGCTTTAGCAACTAATCCACACCTAATGACCCACCTAAGTGGTACTCAGGATATCACTCAAGATATCCCTCAAGTAATTAAGGAACAAAAGAAGAAAAGGCACACTAGCCTGGGAACTTCCTCTCTGCCCAGAACATTGGAGGCTATACACCACACCTCCTCAACAGTATTTATAGGAACTCAAACACTGAGATCCTGCTCTGTTCCAGTAACAAGAAGCCGAAAGCACCAGCCTGAAGATGACGAGTGAGACCTCGTCGAAACGTCGCCTAGACACCCCAACTTTTACACGGGAAGACACCCGAGGACACCAAAACCTGCATATATATATATATATATATATATATATATATATAACACAATAATAGAGCACGCTAACTTCAAGTCATGGTTTACAATCCTGGCTTGTTCCCCTAAACCAGCATGAGTCAATATTGTGTCCTCCAGATATTGTTCGACTACAATCCCATCATCTCTGTCTACTGGCTGGGACCAAATTGTAGTCCACAGCATCTGGATGGCACCATTTTGGAAGAGATAAGAGACCAAGTATTTCTCTCTGTCAGATGTTAGGCTCTATTTAGATATTCACTATTTTGATACTCACCCCACTGGTGTACTATATTCACAAAAGGAAAGTCACTACTATACATGTAGCATATTTTCATTTTCACAGGTATGTATGTGGTAGCTTATTGCCTAGTTGAGGGAGATATTGAATAAGGAAACTTGAACAGAAGATGCTGAAGGAACTTTTATTTATTAAATCTTTTGACTACATTTGGCAGTACACCATTGGTTTTATTTGTCTAAAAGCAGCAAATACAACAGTTCTTGTTACCAACCTACATAAAACCAAGCCTGAAATTCCTTTCAGGTCAATCAGCAAGGAGGAAGAAATGACTGAAAAATGGTCAAGCCTGAATTTTGATTATCACCAACAAGTTTACATATGTGAAGTTATCACTTTGCATTGGAATTACTTTAATTATTCCAACACAGACCTGAACGGAAGAATATATAGATTTATCATTTTATACCACCACTACATTTTAGCACTTAAGTACCTGAACTGTTTCTAGCTTCAAGTTACCACTTACTTAAATACAGAGTTTTAGTGATCTAAGTTTTGATTTAACAATGCATGTGTTCCACAAACTACCCAAAAGTAGTGACCCCAAGGTTCATATTCACCCCCCAGATATCTGCAAACATCTTTTGCTTATCTTTTATGGAACAGTGCAAGCTTTTTGATTTCTAGCAGGTCTCTTCAGTTAGCTAACACCATTTTAGACAGATACAGCCTTTGGGTTTTCTGTTTTGGTTATAAACTTTCTTTTTTTAAAAAAAGAAGAAGTTGGGGATTGAATGGCAATCTCTGTAACTTGACTGCTGAATGCTCAAATATTCAGCAAGAAACTAAACAACACTAGCATCAGAAGTACTGGATTAATAAGAATCCAGTTGCATCTGTTGCTACTATCCAAATATGGTTAGCTCAATTTCCATCTCATCCCTTTAAAAGTAACAAGAAACAGTAAAGAAACATGCTCAGAACCTCATATACACATCCTGGATAGAAATTAAAGATTATTCTTCTTAACCCTGACTATCCTTCAACTGAATTGGGAAAGAAGCATTTCCCATCAATTAGTTAAATATCCACTGGGATCCAAGTGCATTTATCAGGAAGTGGATACAACTGAAGGATGGCAAACCAGGGAGAAGGACAAAATTAAAAACCAGAACAATTTAAAAAACAACAACCAGTCTACCCTACAATCAATGATTCTTCCAAGTATGGTCTCCAAAAAAGCCAGTTCAGGAAACATAAAATGAAGTAATGTGAAGCCTAGTTTCTTAGATCTGAATGTCAAAGTATTATAGAAAGACAAAATAGTGAGAAATGCACATGAGATTGATTAAGATTACTGGCAACGACTATTTTCTATGTCCTATTTCAACACATTTTCTAGAAGGCTCTTGTTCCAGGATTCTTTGCTAACCGAAGTACTGTAGCAACAGAGAACAGATGCTTCCCTGTCTCAAAAAGAGCCAACTGTAGCATGGTTATCTTCCCATAGTGCCCCCCTCTCTCAACCACATATAATCACAGCAAGTATGATTCAAAAGACTCCATTCAGAACTTTTAACAAAAACATTCCCAGGCTGAGAATAAAATACAACAGCCTAACAACAATGGCCTTACATAATTTACATTAAACCCCAAGTATTACTGGTTACAGGTTAAGAGTTTTAATTACCACATCAGTGCTAAAGCATAACTACACTGCAACCCAATACCCACTACCCTAGGAATAAGTCCCATTAAACTCAATGGGACACTTCTGAACAGACATGTGTACAACTACACATTAGATTTGCTAATTTCTACACACATGCTTTGTGAACAATTTATATGGGGATACAAAAAGGAATTTAAACTAGGTGTCTAGATACCCATTTTAATCTTGAAGAACTATATTTGAAAAATAGGTATCATTCAACTTTTACTGAGACACATCAACATCATGCAGCCTAAATTACTGTGTTCCTGAGACTAAGAGATTATGGTCTTAAGCACTGTTACTCTTTAAAGTTCACAAAAGGCTACAGAAGGACTTTAAAGTGAAAAGGAGGGTATTCAACTCTCCTTTCTACAAATCTTGCAAAATTACCCAAAGTGTGTCACTGCATTTGTATGTATAAGGAATGATTTAACACAAAACTATTTCCTACATGAACTGTATTCATGTGGAAGAAATATGTTGTTTGTCACTTCTTAGGAATGTACATATAGACATGTATTTCACCCATACTTATGTCACAATCATGAAAGAACAACCAATAGGCATTTCTACCAGTGTATCCCACACTGCAAAACAAACATGTGTGCTTTGTCACGTGTGATGATACAATCCCAAAGTCCGTGAGCAGTCCTAGATGGAAGCAAAAGTAGCCTAGAGTGCTTATGTGAAGCAGCTCCAACATTTAGGCATAAAGATACCAAGTGAAAAGTTTACAGAATAACATACCTCTTGAGTTCTTTCTGATGGCTTTTTCCGCAGTGCTTGTTTAATCCTGGGATCCACAAGAGATGTCATCCTATTACTCTTGTTATCCAGTTGTCTTAGTTCACAAAAGGTTTCCCCCCTCCCCCAAGTCCAGCCAAACCCCCTTGTTACAACAATATTGGTCTGAAGAGGTTGTGGTGGCTTTTTTTAAAGTAATTCCAGACAACGGGCAAATCTGAGGAACTGAAAGGTTTCACGAAGATCTCAGCACCTCCAATACATATTCCGCATCCCCAGAGAGGTCCAGCAGGGAAGAAAACATCCAGAGTTTCATCTCCTTCCAAGGTTTAGAAACTTTTTACAGCACGATCAAGGAATGAAAACAGTAGCCACACCGCTTCTTCTCTTCCAGCAGGGATCTTGGGAGCGGGATCCAAGAAAAGACCTCATAACGCCACAAGGTTCAAAGGAGGAAAATGTTTTGGAAAAGAGAAAGAGGGGAGTGTTTGTGGTTTCTGGAAGGAAAAAAATGTTTGGAAGTCGGGTGGCCAAATTCTCCTCCAGAATCCGCGCCAAGGGAGAGCCGCCGGGGGGGGGGGTCAGATTAAGCACATGGAGGGCTCGGGAAACCTGGCGAGAGGGTCAGTGGGGGGGAGGCATGGCCGAATCCAGGTGTTGGGAGGGGAGGGGGTGGCTCAGCCATGGGGAAGAGGGAGGGACGGAGCGGGGAAGGCGAGCCAACGGATTCCAGAAATATGGAGGGCGGGGATGAAGGGGGGGTGTTAAATCCGATGGTGAAATTTTAGGAGAAGGAATGGGAGGAGGGGAAAAGGGGTTGTGGCTGGGACTCCGCTCGTACAAACGGAAGCTTCGCTGCGGCTTGCTAATTTGGGGCGGAGAGTGAAATGGGGGGGGGGGAGGGAGAGAGAGAAGAAAAAAAGATGTGGGGAGGAGAGACGCTGGCTGACTGACCCGTGTGTGTGTGAAATTCTGTCACGCGGAGCAAGGAACTCCCGTGTCAGCAGGGCAACGGGGGGGGGAGAGAAAGTGTCCGTTGAGGGCGTTGAAGCGACACAAACCGCTCTCCGTGGGGCGCGCAGGCACGTCGTCCGGCCGGGGGGTCCCGGGCTGGGTCTCCGTTCGCTCCCTTCCTCCCCTCAGCGGCGCGGTGCCCGCCCGGGGCTCCTCCAGGCTTCTCCCGCGGCTGCCCGACGGGCGCGCGGCGCAGGCGGCGGCTGCTTCATCCTCCCCAGGCGGAGGGAGTCCGCTCGTCCTTTCCCTCGTTCTCCTCCTCCTCCTTCGGCTCGGGAGCGGGCGGGATACTTGCTGGGTTAGAAGTTACCGGCCAAAGTCTCCGGACTTTCTTCGGCCCGCCCGCTGCCTCTCGCTCACTCGCAGGGACGTGGCTGGCTTCGCGGTTCTCGTCCTCTCACACACTGCTCATCCTTTGCGCGGGCGGGAGATGAGGCGCACAAGTTCAACCGGCGACTCAAAACTTCCTCCGCTGCTTCTCCTTCTAGAGAAACAAAATGAGAGATAACCCACCGCCATTCGCCGAAATAAAAATTGGGGATAAAGACATCCCTTCTCACACTCGCCACAAAAAACGCACCCGAGCCAGGGAGTTTTTCAGAAGCCGCGAAGGCGGGCGCCTTACACGGAGTATCAATTAGCGGAGGGAGGAGGTGGAGAAGGAGGAGTATAAGACTTTCGACTCCAGAATGGGCTGGTGGGAAAGGCGGGGCATGATCTAGACCCCGCCCACAACCATTGCTCCTTCGTGGAAAGGAGAATCATAGAAACTGAAAGGCTAGAGTAACACCATAGAGTTGGGACGTTACACACACACACACACACACACTGGCTTCCGGTTCCATTTAGAATGTGGTAGCCGCGTAATATGTCTGCGTGGAAGCGAGCGGAGCACAGCCGCGCCTGCACTTGGTTGACCGCAGCTTTTGACTGAGGGAGCGGTGGCGGTGACAGTTAACCAGGATCACTCTTGCTGCGGAGCGTTGATAACTCATTCATAGCAACACCGTTGGCTGAATTTAGTGCACTTGAAATACCATTATTATTATTGTTGTTGTTCTATTTTTTAAAAAAATGCATATCGTCATAATACAAAACACCCAACTCAAAGTGCAATATGGAGATACCCCCTAAGGCAGGCGTGGCCAAACTTGGCCTGCCAGCTGTTTTGGGACTACAACTCCCATCATCCCTAGCTAACAGGATCAGTGGTCAGGGATGATGGGAACTGTAGTCCCAAAACAGCTGGAGGGCCAAGTTTAGCCATGCCTGCTTAAGGCTATCTAGCAGGGTTGCTGTAAGCCACTACCTTGCTCCCTTAGTCCTCCTGTCTGCAATACGGGAATCCCTTAAAGATTATTGCAGTGCCTGGGACAGATTGGTCTCTATAGCCACAGTAGGCACTGTAACCAGTGCTTTTTTCTAAAAAAAAATAATTAGGGATACTCTCATTTTGACTCAAGAAATGCACCATTGTATAGTTCAAATTGGAGAAAATAAATAAATGGACAAAAGTACAAAGATTCACAAAATGTTTAGGGGTATGCGTACCCCTGTGTCCCCCCAGAAAAAAGCACTGACTGTAACTCTCCAACCACTCCTGAAGGCACACTCCTCCATTCCCCCCACCCCCGAAACAGACGGATGCTAACAATAGCAGCAATATGGGGCTATTAACAGTGGCTGTGCGGCAGAGTTGTTGCAAACCACTATCAAAATGTGGGGGCACATTGCAGGGTTCTTGTAAGTAGCCTTTTTTCAGCACCATCCCTACCCCAAAAACGTAGCGTAGGAACAATGGCATTGCTGGGATGTGGAGATGTGAACAGTGATAAACTTACTCCTCAACCTGTGAAATGTTCGAATAATAGCATGACAGTGTTGTGGAAATATGAACAGTGGACTACAATGAAAGTTTGTTGTCATAAACTACTCTCAGCCGCAGCCTCCACCACCCTGCTTGCCCATCTCCAACAAGGCAAGAAGGCAAGGATATTTTAAAGCTTATTCTTCTTGTGAAGCAGAAAGCAACTATTGGTGCTAAAAGTAATGACGAAATCTGGTTGTCAAACTATCGTTGTAGTCTGTCTATGTTCTCTTATAATGGCAATGGCACCCACCCACCTGAGACATGCTGGAACTGAGTTCCGACTGAAAAAGAGCCCTGCACGTATGGAACATGGTAGCATCATGATCAGCAGCCGACACTGGCCAACTCACCAGTGTGGAGTGTATTTTTGAAGGCTGGTAATAGATTGACCAGGCTCCTAAAAATAGGTTGTTAGCACGGCTGAGGAACATTAGTTCAGTTCCTGAGTTTTTAAGAGGTTATATCATTATACAAGTAGTTCCAAGCAAAGAAAAGACATTTGGGAAAGATTGCTTGATAAAAAGAAATACGAGTGCTACTTGCTTATTCTGGAATTAAGGAACACCATACCATAATAATTTCTTACAGACTGAAAAGTAAGCATCCTCTGTAATACTGTACAATGGTACCTCGGTTGTTGTATATCTTCATTGACAAACATTTCAGTTTTTGAACGCTGTAAACCTGGAAGTAAATGCTTCGGTTTTCAAACATGCCTCAGAAGTCAAACATGCCACACGGCATCTGCAGAGTGCAAGATCCTGAGGCCCAGCTGTCAGCTATTGAGTTTTCAGTTTTTGAACGTTTCAGAACTTGAACTGTCTTCCGGAACGGATTATGTTTGAAAAGCAAAATACCACTGTATATTAAGGACACTTAACCTGTAAAACATATTTTTGAATAAGTATACAGTGTACCTCAGGTTAAGAACTTAATTCGTTCTGGAGGTCCGTTCTTAACCTGAAACTATTCTTAACCTGAGGTACCACTTTAGCTAATGGGGCTTCCCGCTGCCACTGCACCGCCGTCGTGCAATTTCTGTTCTCATCCTGAAGCAAAGTTCTTAACCCCAGGTACTATTTCTGGGTTAGCGGAGTCTGTAACCTGAAGTGTCTGTAACCTGAAGCATCTGTAACCTGAGGTACCACTGTATTATACTTAGATTAAAACACACAGATGTACATTTGCCAGGCTTATGTAAGGTGCATTATTGTCTAGCCAATACATTTACAAACTGCTCATCCTCATAAGCAGGGTGTCTACAATTCACAAAATACTGGAATGTGGGAGTGAATAACAGGAGGTAAATGAATCACTCCTTAATGCCTCTGCTTCCTGCATATTTCCTCTGAATCACCCTGACAGGGCCATTGTTAAAGGGGGGGGGGCTGTTTGGGATATAGGTAGAACACTGATCTGACCCTAGCTAGTATAGCATAAACTATGGCCTCTATGTATGGAGAGGGCTCTGCAATCACAGAAAAATAAGTGGCAGTAAAATATTTTTACCGATACTTTCTGATGCATATATTTGTCAGTGGTCCATCTTTCTAACATCAGCCTCATTAGCTCTGTAGTATGGGTTCTATCAACAAAAGCCTCTTTCAGTCAAGCCCTCTAATATTTCTGAGGAATAACAATGCAATGCCTACTCAGAAGTATGTCATATTGAGTTTGAGGGCCCTTAAGCCCAGGTAAGTGTGAACAGGGTATAGGATTGTAGCCTATAAGCTTATACATGCATTTTCCTTAATACAAGTGAGCTATAGGTCTTTTATACACATAAATATGAAGATCCAGAACATGGCATCGTATTTCATACAACTATTTTCAGTGACCAATTGCTAATGCACGATACATAAAACGTTTTTTCTTTCTTTCAAATTGACACTGAGTTGGGAAGAGAGTGACATGATGGAAATTTATGACTTTTAATTGTGGGATTTAACTCTAAAATCTAGAAAGCTGGATATGTAACCCAGCTGTACAAGTCAGAAACTGCTATCAGTTGTGTAACCAAAAGCATTTTTTTCTTACCTATCCTCCTTATTTTCTTACCTATCTTATCTTCTTCCTAGAGCACAATTATATGAATGGCAGAAATTCCGGGGGAAATAAGAGTTGGAACAGAACCCTGAAAGTCTGGACAATGACTGGAATAACTATTTGTAAAATCAATTTGCTGCACTTTTAAAGTTGGAGTGCCAAAATTTCTTAGTGATGAATGAAAAGGTGGTGAAAGAGTATCATAGAACTATCCCTGTATTACTAAACATTCCTTTTGTTACAAATCTATTTACAGACAGCAGCTGATTCAACTCTTTCCCCCTTTGTTTTTGTTGGGTGGTCTGATGTGGCGTTCCATTGACAACTCTGGAATGTTCACCAACTGTTAATGGACAGAAAGGTCATGAATGGTAAAATAGTGCTACACCGTATGAAATGTGATTCATCATTTAAGAAAGTAATCACAACAAGAGCAACAACTAGGGCAACTTGAAACATGACAAGAAGGCTACAGTCCTGAATAGAAGCAAACTCCCATTAGCATTTCACATGACATTACTAGGAAAATGTAGGGTGAAAATCCTAGATATGGGCATGAATCTTGCATGAAATGCCTGCACACTGCACTGCACATAGTCACACTGTTGCAGTTGCCATATTTCAAAAAGTAACATTCCTGAGCATTTTTAAGGAAACACACCCAAGATGTTGAATTGTTATTTTATTTTTGAAACCATACAACCATACATCTGGGTTTTCCCAGACATTTTGCCAATTTGGACATGTCAGGAAGTACTGTAAGCTGTAAGCACAGATTTCCACAAAACGTTTGATCACTATCATATCAACCAGAACTTGACAGAGATGGCAATGAGACTAAGAATGTTGAAGGAGCCCCAGGAACGCATGTTCCAACTATTTCAGTTCCATAATAGTAACAAATAATATTTGGTTCTCTGACTAAAATTATAACTGTGCAGTGCATTTTTATAAATGGAAATAAATCATTTTCTGTGAAATCTATACATGTCAATTAAGAAGGAAGCGCCACAGAATTTCAATGTGTTTTTCTCCCAGTTACTATATGCAGATTTACCTAGAAATAACTTTTTTCCTTTCTTTTTGCCAAGTGTCCGCTATTCAGAATATCAGCAGATCATTTCTATTCTCTACTGCCTGTAAAAAAAAACCCATCAGACCTAAACTCTATAACTCTAACTCTGAAACAATAATACAGGACAATTCAGATACTATATTTTACTTTTGAAATGGTGCTGTTCTCTGTCATCCATTCTGAATTGTCTCTGAAATGCTGGCTCCTAAGGTTTGACCATTCAGTGACTACAGTGAGGGTTAAACATGTAAAAGGCTGCATTTACATTGAAGTAAATGGGAGCTGCAAATTGCAAGCTACTTACTTAAAGAACGAATGAACTAATTTTTTTTTCTGGCAAAAGGTGTCTATTGTTTTCACGACTTCTGCCCAGCTATTTGCAATTCAAAGTAGTTTATGATGTATCTGCAAGGCAAACTGGTTCGTGGACAGGTGGAGACACTGAAAACATATACGCCTCAATCCAGTCTGCAGTATGTATTTGCAAAAGCAGGCTTTAACATGCATAGCCCCAACTGGACAAGTAACCACAAGCACGTGAGCAAGTGGGTGCTGTGTAGGAACACTTCAAGCTATAAAAAGCCACACCCAGAAGCTGGGACCTAACTAAATTCAAAACTGCACGTGCAATTCCAAGCACATAAAATTTA